GAGGAGGAGGAGGAGGAGGAGGAGGAGGAAGGTAAAGATGGACTTCAACCACAGGACTTTCAAACTTAGACTTGCTCCCAGGCCGCTGTGATCAACGAGACTAAAATGGTATTGGCTCCGTACTGTACGGCCTGTGGAGGAACTCACATCTGTAGCAGCTCTGACTCTGCTGTGGAGTCTCCCACCGGTGCTCTTCTTATCAGGCTATGACACAAAATGAAGTACGCTGCAGCAGTGTGTTCATGTCCTCAGTGCACTTTACAGTAACTGCGATATTATCTTCACACAGTTCGAATTTATTATTTTACTGCAATCTATGTTATTCTATTTTTATGGTTGATTATTTTTTTAAATCACGTAAATAGTCAGGAAGAATCATTGTAATTTTGCTCAGTAAAAATGATTTTCTTATAATCAGTATTTTCTCTTTATGAATTATTAGTGATAAGAGCATTGGAGAAAAGCAGGAGTTAAACCTGGATCGACTTCACTGACTGTTCAGCCAACTGTATCAAACCTGGTTACATTCATGACTCCTTTTCTTTCCGTCCTGCCCGGCAACTTCATCTCCAACATCTTGGGTCTAATGTATTCACCGTCTCTCTTCACCTTGACCTTGACTCTCTGGCTGTCTCTCAAACTGCTTGACCCCAGTTGTCACTCTGATCCTGCCATTTCTGATTCTGTCCATTTTGCTAAGGTCCAAGACAATCTTGGCATCGTTAACTCTGCCACCTACAGTTCAACCTGCTGTCAAAGCCACCGTTTACAAACCACACATCATCTCAGGTCTCACAAACGTTCTTCTTTTATCATCTCCTTTGTGTCCTGCTAATTACTTTGGTAATTAAGTCCTGCACCACCCTCACATACTTCTCTGCCTTTCTGACTTTCTCATCTGGTACCACATTCTCTATCTAGAAAACCTTTCGTGTGATTCCTCCAACCCCACCAGAGATTTAACAACTTTCTTTAAATATCCCTTCTGATCAACTTTCAATATCAGTTCTTGAACACTGGTACCAGTAACCTCATTGGTCACTCACCACTTCCTGGTACGTCATCCATATTGACTGTTTTTCTACTCGAAGACACCCCTTATTTCCTCCTCCTCCTCCACATGCCTTATCCCTTCAACTTGTTGGTTCTATAAAATAGTTCTGGTTCTAATTGTTTCCATTTCTTAAGACACAAAGACCTTTATCACCCCAACCTGACGTGTGGCCTTCGCAGCTCTACTGTAAACACCAGTTTGGCCATTCATTACAGTCGTTACAAATCCCTACTATAAACTAATCTAACAGATTGTTACTTGTCATTGCACGGCAGGGGGCGCTTTATTTTTCTAGTCAAGTCTAAGAAATAGCCGTCGAAGACACTGACCGGGAGTCTTCTTCTAAATGTGTTTTGTTTTCAGTACATACAAAAATACATGTGTCCTGTTCTGCAGCTCTTGTCTCCTCTCGTCCTCGTCCTTCCTACACATTCCTTATTCAACAGTCCACCACCTCATTCTGTCTGACTGTGACTTTGCTGGTGGCACTGGAGCAGAGCAGGGGTGGAACTTTATTCGAAGTAGGCCAGGGTGCAGCAGGTAACGCAGACTCATTCATGCCGAATGGAAAGCTCGCAACGTGATGGAGAATATCAGGACACCCTCTGTCACCCTGAAGCACAAGGGGGAAGAGTGAGAAAAGACAGGGCAATAAAAAGGGGAAATAATGAACAGATAGGGAAAAGAACAGGTGAGAGAGCCAAACAGATGGTGGCGTTAGAGAGGAGTAAATGACTATATAAAGGAGATAAGGGAAGAACGACAATACTGCATGAAAAATATCATTTTTCATGCAGTATTGTCCCTGTGTTTATTATAACGTCTGGTGTGGTGTGTTGAGATAAAACTGCCAACAGGTCGGGAAATGACTGGAAACAAAAAGAAATGCAGAGAAAGATATCTGTAAAAATTGGACAATACTTCATGTCCTATTACCATTTGTAAAGGCTAATAAAAAAAACAAACAAAGTCTCCGCTCACACATGATGGTTCTGCCCCCTAGGGGTTTAAGGAAATATTGATATCACAATCGATATCACAATATTTTGTTTCACAATATCGTATCAATATTCTACAGCACTGTATTCATTTTTTATTATTATTAACAGTCCAATATTCCTGGTGTTGGTTCATTTTCATTTTTCTTTTCTTTCTTCTCCAAATGTAAATCCCTCTGTTCCAGTGTTAGGAACTGATGTTCAGATGGAACAGCATTTTTCACAAATTGTGACTGTAACTACATGTTTTGAACACGCAAATTTGTTACCGGTACTTTTGTTTCATTTAGACAAATATTCAGTGGAAACTCGCAACGTTTACTCCAAACACAAGAAGGTGTTTTCTTTTGTTTTTTTGTTTTTGTTTTTTTTTTGTATCGATGTGGTGTTCCAGACCATTCCAGACCAGACTATCAGGTGACATCATGATCCTGCTCCTGTGATAATGAGACCTGTTCTAGGTTCTCACTCCTCCCAAGGAGAACGTGAGGACAAACAACAGCTAACGCCGCGTTCATTCTCTCTCTGCTGCTGGTGCAGAAGTCCAGGGTCCAGGCTGATGACCTGCACCTGGAGCTCGTCTTCTACTCACCTGCAGGAACTCCAGAAGTCCTTACTCACCACCGAGTTCTGCCTACACAGTGGTATTAACGTCAGATTTTCTCAGTAATTTATCTTTTCAGTGTTTTTGTTTTTTTTTAATATTTATTTTCAAGGACTATTATTTAAAGTTTACTCGCTGCTTCTCTACTCTGACTCAGTGGGAATCCTTTTCCTGCTGCTGCTGCTCATCTGGCTGCATCACACCTGTGACACCCCCACCTCACCTCCACCTCCACCCCCACCACAGCCTTGTCTCATCACTACTGAGGTTTCAATAAAAAAAAAACAAATGAAACAAATGACAAATGTCATTTGTTTGTTGTTGTGTAACAGCTGGATCTTTTCACTCCTTCTTTTCTGTTTATATTGGCTGTAAAATAAAAGATTGAATATTACCAGATTCAACTTTGAGACTCAGAACTCATAACTTTCACGATTACAATTCATTATTTCTGATATTTTCTTATCTCTAAAAAAAGAAAAGTCGAGAACCTG